GAATGGACGTTATTCTGGTGGAATGTGGAATTGATGGGCACCAACAGGAGGGTTCAAGTATTGACTGCGAAGATATTGTTCGTGTGTTGGCTGCGGAACGACTGGATTTACGCCTACATTCTTTCATGTCGTGTGGTAGCACCGAGAGGGAGAATCCACAGTCTTTGCAGACATCATCAAGAGCAGGAGTGGCACCGTCTCTCTACAGTGCCGCTAATTTCACGGTGGCGCTCTCTTGCGTTTCTTCAGGTGTTGTCACCGTTCGTCTGCACGTTGTTATACTCGAATCATCTCCCCCTTTTATTCATGAGGGAAATGACACTAACCGTAATGATGATTATGATGGTGAGGATGTGGAAACACGGTGCATCGCTCCACGCTTTTTTTTTGCCGCCGATGGCCATGGAAAGGACAGGATCAGTTCCTTTGGCGACCGTGTCTCTGCAGTGGGTGGTAAAGTGTATAGAATGGGAAGGAAGGTATACGAGTGGGATGCTCAGGAGCTGCAACGCGTACGTTCTTCCTCTTCTTCTTCTACCGCAGGTGCCGTTGCGTTCAGTATTCCACGGCTGAGATGCTTTAAATGGAAAACGGTGAAAACGAAGTCAGGGAACGTGTCTCATTCTACGGCCCTTCCATGGCAATGGCGTTACCGTCTTGGGCACACAACATGGGTCTATGACAACAGGTACATCATGTTGCATGGTGGCATCTGCGTGAGCCAAGTTGGAGGACGAAAACCACCGCCGCTCTTTAAAAGAGGAGATGGGAGGGGACGAAGACATCGAGGGTGTCGCTTTACAAGTTGCATTTTTAATCATGCGGCAGAATCACTTGTCCATGACGCGTCCTCCGCCGTTTTTTGTTACGACACGAAAGAGCATAGCTGGGCGGTGATGGAAACCGAGGAAGGTGACATGGGTAAAGCGAGCATCAATGGTGAAATGGTGCCGTGTCAGCATGTGTTTCACTCCAATGTACTCATTCAAGAAAAGGTTTGGTGCTTTGGTGGCTGTCGTGTGGCGGGAAAAATGCGTGAAGATGGCGATGAATTTGGGGACGCGAAGGATGCAGCGTGGATGACACAAAAAACGGTAAATGCGTGCCGAGGCATTCTCTCCAATGCGTTGAAATGCCTCGATCTTCCCACACGTCAGTGGAGTATTGTGAAGCCGATGGCGCAGATGACAAGCCGTGCAATTTGTCCCGATCGCACCATTCCCTTCTTCTCTGCTGTGAAAACACCACTGATGTCTTCTTCACCGCTTCCTGTGATGTGTCACACGGCGGTGGGGTGGAATGATCAGATGTTCGTTTTTGGCGGCCTACAAGAGGTGGTGGAAGGCGAAGGCACCGTGCTCAGGCCCTCCAATGCGCTCTACATGTTCCACACGATCCGACTCTCGTGGTGGTTACTCTCCCCAGCAAATGCTTTGGACGTTGTCGCTGTTGTTGCTGATGATGGCGGCGTCGGCGGCGGAGGGCTCAACCGTAGTAATGACGACACGGGGCGTCGCAGGAATTGGCCCTCCGCGCGTTACGGACATGCCGCTGCCATTGTGCCTGAACACCCTCACGGTGCCTTTATTGTCCTGGGGGGCGCCACATGTCTTCCTATGAATGGGAAGAAAAGCGGGAAGTTGACGTTTGATTGCGCGTTGGATGAACTGCTGTGGGTATATTACGCAGCATTTGGCTACTGGCAGCGGATTGAGGTCCCGTCATTTGTTCCACTTACCCGGCGTGTATTTTCATCCCTACAAATTGTGAGGTTAACAACAGGAGAACCGTGGATTTCGTACCTTATTGTCATTGCCGGTGGGTGTGACGCCTCTTCTCTGGAGAAGCAGCAGCGGCAGGAGCCACATGCAGAGGAGGAGGCCATTGATAAGAAACAGGACACAGGGCTGTCCGTAGATGCCAATGGGAATACCTGTAGAGGTGATGATATTTCTTGCGTTTCATTGGCAAATGGAGCGATTCGACACGTGTTTTCTACTGTTCTCACTTCCCCACAGTTGGAAACAGCGTGGGCCTCACTGGAGGAGCGTGGTCTTTGGCAGGTGTCAGTGAAAAATCGAACATGATAAGAGAAGTAAATATATATATATATATATATATATATATATACGTCTAGATTATTTATAGCCATCTTTATTCTCTGTGCATGGCGTTTCAAGTGCAACGCATGACATGATTCATGGTGTTGCGGGGGAGGAGTGCATGCACGGAGGGATGGGCAACTGGTGCTTATTATTATTATTATTATTATTATTATTATTATTTTCTATTCATGATGAACCCTTTGCGGGGATAAATAATAATAATAATAATAATAACAATAATAATAATCATTTGATGATCTGTTTATTATCATTACCTTCATTACATACAATTATGTATCTGACGGTGTTTCTGCTTACTGCAAATGGTGAGAATTTGATTAATTTTTTTTTACAGATAATTCTACCTTTTTTTTTTTTTCTTTTTTCTGGCGTGTACCGCACGTATGGTTGTGTTGGTGGTAGTAACGAAGGATAGTAGGACCGGTGGCAGCTTGTGGTGAGCATTATAATTCTGGAGGGAGGCGATATTCTTCTTTTCTTTTTTTTTTTCTTTTTTAAATTTTATTTTATTTATTATATTACATTTTTTTTTGTTGTTGTTGTTGTTTATTATTGACGGTTTTAATTTAAATTTATAGTTCGCTTGCGGATGTCGTGGCACGGAGGCTCTCATAAATGGCTGTTTTTTTTTCTTCTACGTGGCGTGTTGCTGCTGTTGCTACTTCTGCCGTTGGAAGCGGGGGAGGTGGTGGTGGTGGCGGCGGCGAAGTCGGCACCCAAAGTGGAAGAAGAGGACTTTTACGAAGTTTTGGGCCTCGGCAAGGAGCGCGACGATGCGAGTGAACGGGACATCAAATCGGCCTGGCGCAAGTTGTCCAAGAAGCACCACCCGGACCTTGCAGGGGAATCACAGCGTGAGGTTTACCAGCGGATTCAACGCGCCTACGAGGTACTTGGGGACCGCAAAAAGCGGAAGGTTTACGACATTCTTGGCATTGACGGCGTCAAGAAGATTGAACAGCCCCAGGAACAGCAGCAGCAACAACACATGCATTCATTTTTCTCCTTCTTTGGCGGGGGCCATCAGCAACAGCAGGTGGACCGCGGTAAGAATGAGGATTTGGTTTTGCTGGTGCCGCTCGAGGATGTCTACAGCGGGGCAGCACACACTGTGAAGCTCTCCAAGACAAAAATATGCCGCACCTGTCGCGGAACAGGGGCGCGTAGCAAAGATCATCTTGTGCGATGTCCGCACTGCAATGGGGAGGGTCGAGTTCTGCGTCGTGTGCAACTCGCCCCGGGATTTATTCAGCAGATGGAGCAGCCATGCGCCCACTGCAATGGTCAGGGTGTATTCATATCAGAAAAGTGCTTGACGTGTAAGGGCAAGAAGACAGTGCGAAGCACTTCCTCCATTAGTATCGACATTGAGCAGGGTATACCAGATGGCCACGTCCTCACATATGAGCTGGAGGCGGATCAACAGCCAAATCAAGTTCCCGGCGATGTTCTCTTCACTGTTGTCACCGCCTCCCACCCCCGCTTTACACGTAGCGACAACGACCTTACGGTGACTGTTGTGCTCACGTTGAAGGAGGCATTACTGGGTTTCAGCAAGTCATTAACGCACCTTGATGGCCACTTGGTAGAGTTGGAGCAGTCGGGTGTCACACAACACGGGGAACGACGCAAAATTGCCGGTGAAGGCATGCCCAAGCACCATGTGCCATCTGAGCGTGGCGATCTTCATATTATCTTTGAGGTGGAGGTGCCATCTCTGCTCACAAAGGCACAAAAAGAGGCTCTTGAACGTGCCTTTGGCTAACGAAAAGGAGATCAATAAATACATACATATATTTAGAGAGAGAGAGAGAGAGAGAAAGAAAAAATGAAGATGAGAAAATTGTAGGGAGGTATGTCTGTGCTTATGTATGTGTTTGTTTGCTTTTTTTTTTTTTTTTTTTCCCTTCTTCTTCTTCTTCTTCTTCTTTTGTATGTGTTTGTGTGTGTGTTTGTGTCTTTCGGTATAAATATATAATAATATACATATTGTTATTATTATTAGTGTGTGAGTGTGCGTGAGGTCAATATATTTTTTCGTTGTTGTTGTTTTTTCTCTTTCGCTCCATTTCTTCGGTCACGCAAATGCAAACGCACAGGCAGACTGTAGTCTGGGAGAGAAGGAAAAATATAAAACAGACAAGACAAGAAAGGAGAAGAAAGAAGATGATGATGATGATGATCATCACAGGGGGACCCCTCGTCTACGAAGGAAGGGGGGAAAGACAAAAAAAAAAAAAAAAAAGAAAAGAAAAGAAAAGAAAAGGAACCAAGAAGGAAGCAAACAAACAAACAAACAAAAAAAAAAAAAAAGAGGATAAAATTACTGGAAGGGACGGAGAAAAAGATAACGCTCTGTTGCAAGCTTTAACGAAAATAGAGAGAGAGAGAGAGAGTGTGTGTGTGTGTGTGTGTGAGGCTGAATGAGCCGGTGGAACTTTGGTGTGTGTGTGTGTGTCTCTATGTGTCTGTATGTGTAGGGTTTCTTTTTTTATCATGTGTACATGCGATGTGGACTGTTGGTGGCACTTATTTATTATTTATTATTATTTACTTTTTTTTTCGTGTGTGTTTCTTCTGTTTTCTCCCTTTCCTTTTTTTTTTTTTTTTTCTGCATCAGCGCCGGTGGGTGGGCAAGTGTTGCTGCTGGCGGTGGGTGGGAGGGACAGGAGCCCGGCTGAGATTGAATCCACCGCTCCGCGTAAGCTGCACACACGACAACAATTCAAGAAGGGATTGACGGACGGATTGCGGATACAACCACGCCTCTGTCTGTCTGTCCGCCCACATCATCATTTACACAATTACACCGATATATTTAGAATACATACACCCACGCTGTAATCACAGAGGGATAGAGAAGGGAGGAGGAGGATGACATCGGCTGCTCCTCTTTTTGCTATCACCGGACGTGGAAATGACGTGAAACATGCACGTGAACTGATCGCCTCCATTGGTGGTGTTCTCACAACGAAGGAGCAGGTGGCCGACTACCTCGTCGTTGTCAAGGGTGCGGGGAGACGCAGGGTCGAGGAGTATTGCCAACACCACCACCACCACCACCACCAAAAGCAGCTGCAGCATAATGGAGGGAGAGGCAGTGGGAATTTGACCGGCCACACTACCAGTAGCAATGGTATAAGAGATTTACACTCACGGGGCGGTCGTCTTCTGCTACTGGACATGCTGGAACAGTGGAGCACACGTGGAAAGGTGCCCGAGCGTGACGTGAGCGTGGAGGAACTTGAAGGGATGAATCTGCTTAGCTCAGCCGGGGCAGAACGTGACCAACGCTTCTACGATATCCCCGAGGGATTTTTGAAGCGCTCCCGCGTGACGCTTGACCCCCACGGCAACGCGGTGGATGAGGCGGACAACAGCGTGCTTGTATCCAGTAGACGAGCAGCCCCACCCTTGACGGCCACGCCACCACCACCAGGAAAAACAGCAACGTCACCTGCATTATTACGGCCGCCGATGGTTCCTGCCGCCGTCCCACTGGCTGGGGCCGTTGTCTTTAAAACACCTCTGCAACACGACGCTCAACGTCGCGGTGTGCCGCGTGATGACGAAAGCGTGCCACAGAAGGCAGCGGGCAATGTGGCGTCCTATGGGCCGAAAAACAACGGCGTGGTGAATCCCATGCGGGCCGCATTTCAGAGGCGTCCCAAGCCGGAGTGGGATACTTACTTCGCGGACGCTCCCGGTAGCTGCGGCGCTGGCGATGCTCAATGGGTTGGCGACGCCACTACGAATAAGAAGAAGACGAACGACAGTCATAGCAGTAGCAAAGTACATGTGGCTCCACAAAACAGGGCCGCTACTGCAGCAGCAGCGCCTTCTCCTTCGGAGTGCACGCCATCCAACCAGGCGTATCCCTCATCAACAGCGAGAGGCGAAGCCGCAGTTGCACCGAAAATCACGAGGCAGAAGAAGAACAGTGTGGAATTGACATTTGACCTCTCAAAACGCGGCACGCGATGCCCCGAAATGGCGCTGCGTGGCGCCAAAAGCAATAGCGACATGAATGCACATGAATTGACCACGAAGAAGAGGAGTGACGAGAAGGCGACGGTGGAAGAGGGGGCACGTAAACAGCAACAAGAAACAAAAGAAAAAAAACAAGAGGTGAGAACAAAAAAAATACGACGCGATGGTCCAAAGTCCCGTTTTTATCACAGCGCGTTGAATAGCAAACCTGGAAAGTCCAGATCTGTAGAACTTCCAACTTCGCGGCAGTCCAAAGTGAACCACGACGATGCACCGTGCAGGAGGACCGCAGGAAGTGGCGTGCTTGCGAGCGATGGATCGTTTGGTCCCCCACCGCCACTTCCTCCCCGTCCACATGAGTCGGCCAGGATGCGCTCCACCACTGGGGCGGCGACAACGACAACACAGGCGGGGTGCAAATCAACTCCAGCAGCTTCTCGGCTTGCACGGCCGTTATCGACGTCGATGCCATCCCATCCTCCCGCTGTAGCCACCGCTGCTGTGACGACGAAGGCGGCGAATAACAACTCGACCCGTGTAACTCATGGTAACTCACTTCTGCAACGCGTTCGTCAGAGTTCGTACTGCAAGGGCATTCCCGAAGAAACATGTCTAGCGGTACTGCAGCAGGTTGTAGACCGTGCGTGTCCTGTAAGTTTTAGTGGCATATCTGGTCTTGAGGTTTGCAAACGCATCTTGTACGAGGCCATCATTCTTCCCGCGAAGTGCCCACAACTCTTTACGGGGCTGCGACGGCCCTGTTCGGGATTACTTCTCTTTGGTCCTCCCGGAAACGGAAAGACGCTCCTCGCCCGTGCTGTGTCGAGGGAATGCGATACGACTTTCTTCAGCATCTCCGCTGCGGCCATCACCAGCAAGTGGGTTGGTGAGAGTGAAAAGATGGTGCGGGCACTTTTTGCCGTCGCGCGGGCCCTTGCCCCCAGTACAATTTTTGTGGACGAAATTGACGCACTGTTGCAGGCACGGGGGGGCGCCCACGAAGGAGAGGGCTCCCGTCGCATCAAGACGGAATTTCTTGTGCAGATGGATGGTGCGGGGAACGACAACAGTGAGGCACGTGTTCTCGTCATGGGTGCGACGAACCGTCCATTTGACTTGGACGAGGCGATTATTCGGCGCTTTCCAAAGCGCGTGTTTGTGCCGTTGCCGGATGCACCCGCGCGTACGCAGATCCTCCAATCGCTGCTGGATACGGAAGAGACACCTAACAGCTTCACCCCGGCGATATGGCAGCGCATCGTCGCCATGACCGATGGGTACAGTGGACATGATCTACGGCAGCTTTGTGAAGAGGCGGCGATGATTCCTGTGCGTGACCTCCTTGCGGAGAAGATGCGCAACGGAGAAGAATTGACAGCGCAAGCGTATCATCACGACTTGCTGCGACCGTTAACATTGCAGGATGTTGAAACCTGCATCAAGGCGCGTCACCCCAGCTGTTGCCCCAAACAGCTAAAGGCCCTGAGTGAGTGGAGTGACACCTACGGATCCAATTAGTGGTGTGGGGGAGAAAACAAACAGAAAAACCGTTTTAATTCTTTTTTTTTTTGTTGTTTTTTCCTTCTCTCTCTTATTTAATTGCTATTTGCCTGTATGAGGCGTGTATCTTTCGATTCCTCATATCCGCAATGTTGGCTGGGGCGAAGAGACTCTTCTTTGGTGGCTCCTTCCTGACTCTATTACTTACCATTTTACCCACTTTTTTTTTTTTTTTTTTTTTCAAAGGACACATTACGGACCGACAAAAATGGAGTAAATTGGAAGAGAAGGACTGACTGCGTACGTGGAGGAGGAGGAGGAGGAGGAGGGGGTGAAATTATACCCTCGATGACTGTAATACACGAGGCAGCTATGTGGTTGATATCAATAGGGCCATATATATATATATATATATTACTGCTCTTTATTTTTTATTTTTTAAAGGGCTTGTAGAAAAAAGCTGTAGACGATGATGAGGACTTGTCCTATTGCCATTTTCCAAATGGAATATTATCACATGATATTTTCTCTTGGAGCTGACTTGCTGGTGTGCGACGGGGCTGTGATGGAGTCTCAAGAACGCGGTGTTTATTATTTTTATTTTTATTATTGTTATTATTTTGTCATCCCGTAACTCCGCTGCGGGACTCCAGGGCCGTTGGTTGGGGAGAGGTCTGAAGGCGTTGGACAATTATTATTGGTCAACGCGGATAATATGAGACCTGATGTTTGTGTATATGCGGTGCCGTTATTTTGTGCTCAGGCTACATTGACCGTTGGTAGTGTTGCTCAAAGCCCGCGTTGACCTGTGTGGGTGTTCCCATGATTTCCCTCTTTTTTTTTGTTGTTGTATGTGTGTGTGTGTGTGTGTGTGTGTGGATGGAGCAGCAGGCCTTGAAAAAACGAGATTTAGGGGAAAAACATACGGAACAACGCTGGAGGCGTACAAATTTAGGTGACTACTGTAACGACGTCCCCTTTTTTTTTTTTTTTAGATTTTTGTGGACAAACGGCAACCACGGCAAGATTAACGTAAGCGAATAAATGCAACTAAGCAACGTGGACTTTACCCCAGTCAAGGGTTTGGTACAGGGCATGCAACGCTGCACTATTGCCCGTCAGTTTAAAGGGGAAGCTACCATCATTCAAAACTTTCGTTTGCCCGATGAGGTGCTGCTTTCTCTTCGAAAAGTGTTATCGACTCAAGAGCAAGCTTGCGTGTGGGTGGACATGCAGGGATGCACCGATGAACAGAACAGGAATGTTCTCCGGCTGCTCTTCCCAGACCTGCAGCAAAGTCAGATAGAAGGAGTCCTCAGCCCGGAAAAGTATGATGCGGTGGAATTGCAGCCGGTGAAGGGAGAGTACCTCATTGGGAGCCTCGCATGCGCCTGTGAGCGGCAACGGTGCGCGGTGGAAATGGAGGACGAGGAGAATACAGTCATATGCTCCTTTGTGTGCAACGACCGTTTTTTGGTGACGATGCATGCAGCCCCGTTCCTTGGCCTTAAGGAGTTGCTGCACCACGTGAAGGTGGGGGGTGGCCTTCTCATTCAGGAAACAACGTCCGAATTTTGTGACTCGGAAGGGACTGACATTTTCACCATGAAGGGGTCTGCGGTACTGTGCGCGCTGGTGTGCTTTACTTGTGAGACGTACTTACCAAACCTTACGGGGTTGATCAGTGAGGTGGACTGCATTGACGAGATGGTGCTTCTTGTTGCGCCTGGTAAGCGTGATCAGACAGACCTCCTGCGCCGTGTCTCCGTGCTGCGCCGTCGTATGTCAACGGAGAATGCGAGACTGTACTTGAAGGAGAAGCTGCTGCAGGAATTGATGGGACCCACGATGCGCACGACTTTTGTTTCACGAGACTCTGAATTGGTAAAGGCGTATCGAGAGGTATTTATGGAGCTCTCACAGGTACTGGAACGTATGGAAGTTGCCCGTGACACATTGAACCACGTGAATCTTAACTTTGTGAATGCTGTGTTCATGCGCATGTCTCAGGCCTCTGCCGGGTTTGACTACCGAATGATGGTTATCAGTCAGATCTCCACTATCTGTCTTCCCTTGAATCTGTTGGCCTCATTTTATGGAATGAACTGCAAGGTGCCGTGGTCAGCAGACGATTACGACAACCTGAATTGTTTTTGGGCTATCATGGGCATTATGCTTGCGTGGACGATCATTTGCATGTTCCAGCCCGTGCGGCTACTTTTCTGCTCGCGAGAAGCGGATTTCGAGTGATGTATACATATATATTTATATAAGGAGGATGAGAGGAGAGGAAAATGGAATGGAACGGGGTGAAGGGAATTCGTTGTGTTCCACAGCTGTGGCTCATTGGCAGCTTTATTGGTGCTTTGCAAGCTCTTCCCTGTAATGTTGGGTGTGGGTGATGGATGGTGGATGGCAGGGGGGGGGGAGGGGAATATTGTCTGAGCGCATTTGTTTGATGTCTCTTGCATAATGGTGTTATTCATGCGATGCGAAGAAGTTCCAACGCCACACGCATACATACATATACACACACAGGAAAAAAAAAAAAAAAGAAAGTGAAAGTAAATGGAGGGAATGCCTTTTTAGTGAATATTTCAATGTTTTTTTTTTTTGTTATTGTTGTTTGTCTTTTCCTGTTATATGAAGCAAAGTTTTTTATTTTTATTACTATTATTTTTTTTTTTTTTTTTTGGTTGTAAAAAAAAAGAAAAACATGTGGAGGGAATGTGCACCCGGTTGAGGCTTAAATCAGTGAATGGGTGTTTTTATTCATCTGCCCTGTTTTGTTACAAATAACTTGAATTTTTTGTCTCCAATGATGCCACGTTGGAGGGTGGCAGGCGTAGTTCTTCTTAAGGTCCACCCCAACTCCCCAATCCACTGCTAAGACTGACCTCCACACTGTGGTGTGCGTGCGTGCGTGCGTGCGCGTGGCGGTTTTAAATGGCAATGAATACCGCCACTTCTTGACTGCAAAAGAAACCCCGGGTTTAGGGATTGGTTTATGAGAGAATTGGTTTACTGGCGTGTACGTGGGTCGGAGGTGAATCGAACCCGAAGTGATTGGAGATGTTGGGCGAATTGAGTTGGAGTAATTTTGTCTTCTCGTGTTTCTTTTTTTTTCTTTTCTTCATCCATTCAAGGATGGCCGCTTCTCTCTCTACACATCCTCTGGCTGGCCACAGTTTTTGGCGAGTCATCTCTCACCACGCATAAACACGGCGAGGGCAATTGGACGGATGCGGGACATGTTGGCCGCTGAAAATCTGAATTCTCAGCGCGACAATGCCCAGGCCATCGGGGATCAACAGCATCTTTGCGCTCTCTCTTCAATGCACAGCTTGTGGCCTAGGAGAAGAGGGACTCCGTGTGATCCTCGCGGAAGAGCTCTCCGCGAGAAGTGCAGGACTTTTGGGAAAAGGAGACGCGACCGTTGACGAGGAAGAGGCTTGGAGAAGCCAGCGCTGCCCGAGTTCACCCCCCAACCGCGTGGTGTCAACTCCCTGGCGTCCAAGCGTCGCCTTGTCCCGTGGGAAACTCCTAGCATCCTCTTTTTTGCAACGGCGGCGGGGACGATGGTGGTGGCCGTGAGCCCCCCGAATGCATGCGTTCCTCCACTTGCCCAGGGCTCCGCCAACGACGTGCCGAGCCGGGAATTCTCGGGGGATGGGGGGAAGCCCCGGGTTCCTCATTCACGACGCGGCTAAATGGGTCTCTCGTTCCCAGAGTGGGGCTTGCAGGCTCTGGAGCTGCTGCTGCGCAGGAGCCCGGCGACTGGGGATAGGAATCCACACATGTTCAGGAGGCGCTCGCGAGTCCCATGGGATGGATCGGGATGGGCGGTGATCTTGGTGCGCCGTCGTCGGTGGTGTTGAATTTCAGCGACGCCCTGCGCACGACGACTTTTGGGTGACATGCCCCAGCATTTTCATGATGGTGCCGCGTTCATGTTTGCACAGGACTATGGACGAGGCGGGCGCGTTGGCAAATTCTACCCAGCCGCTGACCGTGAAGGAGCAGCGAGCACGATCTTCTCGTGGCCGGCTGTATGGGTTATTTGGGCAATAAGCATCTTGGGGCTTCTTGGCGGTAGTGGATGCTCACGGGGCATCCCCCTGATTGGATCTGCGCGCAGCCTTTTTTGACTGAGCGCACCCAGTGGGGCGCGAAGATTCGTTTTTTGCGGGACGCGGACGTTGGCTGAGGTGGAGGTGACCACCGCCGAATTATTTTGTAATAGATACATGTACGTTGTCTATCCGACTGTAAATGATTTCTGCATCCAACATGCATGTGTCTGTTTTTCTTTTATTTCTCTCACACTCCCCTTGCCATTTGTTTTCTTTTTTTTTTTTTTTCTTTGTGTACTTGTTTGCGAATGCAGCATGAAATAGTAACGACTGACAGCAACAGCCCAGAAAACAATAACAAATTTATTTGAGCTTTTTTTTTTTTTTTTTGTGTGTGTGTGTGTGTGTTTGTGTGGTTTTAGCTTTGCGTAGCACGTCCCGATACATTTTCCCGCCAAGCAGCCGGGAGACATCGCCTGACGGGACTTACATCGTAGCAACACGCCGAAGGAAATTCGGCTGTTTCTGTTTCGGTCTCCTCGCCATTCGCAGGCGTCAGTGCGGTTTAACAGGCAAACGCAACGTGGGGGAGTTTCCCAGCAAAGAACGTTGGTGACTTTTGGCGGCGAAACGACCGAGAGACGGAGTGGAGGGACAAACAGCAGTAAAAAAAAAAAAAAAGAAAAAATAACAGCAACAAAGAGAAGGAAAAAGACAGTGAGAAGAGGATTCTTTGGCTTCAAAAATTTTTGTCTTTTTTTAAATTTTTTGAGGAAGGATGCGTGAGGGGGAAAAGGGAGCAAAGGTTCACGGGCTTGCGATGGATGCGCAGGAGGTGGGGTCAGCTGCCGTGGGCATTGTGCAACCGATGCAGCGCTGCCTTGTGGTTCACACGGCAACGGCAGTGCCATTCTCCACCAATGTCTTTTGCAACCCAGACAGGGTGGTGGATGATCTGAGGAAACGCATGCAGGATGGAGAGGTTTCCCCAGATGGGCCTTGCGTGTGGGTGGACATGCAGGGATGCACCGATGAACAGAACAGGAATGTTCTCCAGCTGCTCTTCCCAGACCTGCAGCAAAGTCAGATAGAATGGATGATCCGATGTGACACATATGATACGGTGGAATTGCAGCCGGTGAAGGGAGAGTACCTCATTGGGAGCCTCGCATGTCCTCCCAATCGCGGTCCCTCCCTCTCTGCCCCCGCCGCGTCGGAGGTGGAAAAGGAGAATACAGTCGTCTGCACCTTTGCATGCAACGACCGTTTTTTGGTGACGATGCATGCAGCCCCGTTTGTCGGACTCGCGGAGCTGCTGCGACACGTCGAAGTGGAGGGATCTGGGGGGCATCGCGGCGGCGCGTCTGCAGCCCCCAACACCGCATCGCCGCAGATGCAAAGATCCATCGCCCCGGCTCCATCACTGCGGGGCATCACAAGTGCCGCTATTCTCTCCCTGTTGGTGTGCTTCACCTGCGAGGCCTTCCTTCCCGATCCCACGTCTCTGCTCGCCGAGGTGGGTAACATTGACGAAATGGTGCTCCTCATCTCCCCTGGCGAGCAGGACCAAAGGGATCTTCTTCGCCGCGTGGCGCTCTTACGCCGTCGTATATCAAACTTTCGTACGGGGTTGTACTTGAAGGAAAAACTTTTACAGGAACTTATTGCGCCAACGATGCGTTTGTCCTTTGTGGCAAAGGAGCCAGACACCGTGCGGGACTATAAAGAGACGTTGGAGAAGGTGCGGCAGGTGTCAGAGCGACTTGATGACGCCCGTGACATGCTCAATCAGGCGAATTTGAATTTTGTCACTGGCGTCTCGATGCGGATGGCGCAGGCATCGGCGGGGCTCGATTTCAAGATGTCTCTGTTGAATCAGCTGGCCGCTATTTGCCTCCCGATTCATCTTGTCATTTCAGTTTTCGGTATGAACTGCAAAGTGCCGTTTAACCGCGATGAATACCCCACACTTGTCCCGTTTTGGATTATCTGCGCGGCATTTGTTTTCTGGGCGCTTCTTTGCGCATCCCCGCTGCTCCGTATTGCTATTCAGGGTCTCCGGGCAACCCCTGTCACATCGTACGAGTGAGCACGAGGTCTGGGAAGAACGAAAGAAAAAAAAAAAAAAGTAAAATATGAGGGGATGTGTGTGCCTTAGGGGAGGGGGGAAAAAAGACAACAAACAAATAAGGCATGGGGGCGTTTCTGCTGCTTGAAAAAAAAAAGAAAAAAAAGGCCCATGATGTTGCAGTTGGAAGGAGGGTGAGACGCATCGTCATTGTCTATAGGAAGAAATAAATTATTATTATTATTATTAATATGAAATGCCTCCATGCATTGAGGGGTGAAAGGGTGCAGAATTAAGGGGGGACGTTATGGTTCTTCTTTCCATTATCGACGGGTTGTCGATGAATTCAATCATGTAAGCAAATTGCATGTATGTGTACGCACACATTTTTATCTCTATCTGCTTTCTTTTTTTTTCGCTGTTGATGTGTGTATAACTGCCGTTTTTTTCTTTTTTTTTTCTTTTTTGTTTGTTTTCTTCTTTTGTTTGTGAGTAGCGCAGAGAGATAGAAGTGGGTCACATGCATACGAGGAGTCGTCATCGTCGTGGTATCATTTTCCTTTTTTGTACCATTGCCATTTTCTCCCTGTGGAACGCGGGTGGAGGCGATGTAGACTCCTTTGCGGCGAATGTTGAGGGGGTTTTGTCGCCTCAATCATCAGATGGCCATCCGCGACATGTAAGAACGTTCAATGGAGTCAACGATGTTCTTGTCGTACCCACGCGGCCAGGCACTTATCTTTGCGAGTACATGTCGAATGCAACCTTGCTGCCACAGGGCTGTGTCCAGTCATGTGGAAACGATGGGCAGGAAAATGGCAAAGATTTTAACTGTTACGTGCATTCGCGACACCGCGTGGCGGAGTTCCGGCGTGCAGACATCGCAATCAACCACAACGGGCCTGTTCCATCGCGTCCATTCGGTCAACGACGGCCACACCTCACCCTTTTCTACACAGGGGAGAGCAACCACACAGACAAGAAACGGAGCACGGAGGCCTACCAGCGTCTGTATGATGTTGTGATTTCTTTTCATCACCATCGGCCCTACTACTTCACATGGGCCCATCGTCAACAACAACAGTTCCTGAAAATTCTTCATGGCAACAATCAACCCCTCGCTAATAAAGATGCGTTTGACTGGGGGAAGTGGCAGCAACGCCACTCTGCGGTGGCAGTGTTCGTGTCTCGCTGCAAGGCGCGCCGTGCAGAGTTTATTCGCCGCCTGTCGGAGCATTACCCGGTTCATAGTTTTGGTGCTTGCGCCAGAAATCGTGCGATTCCATCGGAATGCGCTCGCCGGACCGGACGCTACCCGCAGAAGTTGTGCGTCTTTCAAAAATACAAGTACGCCATGGCACTTGAGAATTCAAACGAGACGGATTATGTGACGGAAAAGGTTTACCACGCTCTCTTGAGCGGGGCGATTCCATTGTATTGGGGCGCTCCGAACGTTGAGGATTTTCTTCCGTCAGGCCGGGGCAGCATTGTGGAACTGGAACGGCTCCTTCCCGGGCAAGTGGGTGACGATGCGAGAGCGACAGCGAATGCGAAAGACGCGTTTCGCGGGTTTGGTGAAAAACTGCGGCGGCTAGAAGAAGACGAGGCGTCCGTTCGGCGGCTGCTTCGGTGGCGTCGTGCCAAACGGGCGGCGGAGTGGGGAAATAGTTTTCTTGGGAATTTATATCACCCAGACCCGTTTTGCGCCGTCTGCGCGGAGGCCCGCCTCAAGCGGAGCAAGGACGGAAAGGAGAAGTAAACCCAGCCCGTCGGTGCCGCGCCGCACCGTGCAAAGCGTTTTTGTCGCGATTGCTGCCGTGGGCGGCCCTTGATGTTGCTTTTCTTTCATTCGGCAGCTCTCGCTCATACGCCAACGGCGGCGCCGAAGAGAAGAGCGGAGGCAGGAGCATCCCGCACGCGCGCCTGCTTTTTTTTTTCTTTGCTTCTCCGCATTGTCTGCGTATATTTGTTTTTCCTTCACTTTTTTCCCCCCTTTTCTTTTGTGCGTCCTCGGGCTTCATTGCGAGAAAAGTGTTATAGCGAATGGGCGGCGCATGCCTGCCGGCCTCGGGGCGGGGGCGCGCGGGCGTGGTGGGCGGAGGGCATGGGGGAGAAGGGCGGGGACCAACGGAAAGTCTCCCCCCGGGGCTCCTGTTCTGGAACGCCGTGCGGGGGTCCGCGGAAAAGACGGCGGCGGCGGGCCGCAGGCCTCCATACGGGGACGCATTTCTGGCGACGATGGAGGCCGGCGGCTCGCGGACGAGCGGAGAGCCAGCCGGGCGCGGCGCGGTTGTGGCGCTGCTTCTCCCGCGCGCCGAAGAGCAACACGAGGCTCGCGCCGTGTTTGCCTCTTATTTCGCGGCGGCCGAAGGACAGCGGACGAGGCGGGCAGGCGAGAACGCGCTAGGAAGACGCCGGGGCGCGCGTGTGTGATTGTCAGTTCGCTTCTGCCGCTCCGCCTCGGGCCTCCGTGGCTGTTTTTTTTTTTTTTTTTGGGGCGCGTCCCGCTTGCCTTTCCCACTCCCTCCCCGTTTTGTCTTTTTTTTTAAATTATTACAGGAAGGGCAGGGTCCGCCCGCCATCTTCGCAGCACCCAAAGCCGCGCGCCAGGCGACGAAACCCGACATTCAAAGATCCCATCGGCAAGGCGTCGCCAGAGTGATGCCGGCGGCGTTCCCCCGCAACCCCCTGCAGACTGGGGCTGGGTTCTGTTCCACATCCCTGCTCAGCAGCGCCGCACCAATAAGGACTCCATGTGGAGAAGTTGTTTGCTCTTTTTTCCCCTGGCAATACGGGGTGCGGGGCCCTGACGCTGCGCTGGGGCGGTCGCGCGTCAGGTCGCGTGGGGGAAAACGCAAGATGCCAGCCGGACGGTGACGTCGCACAATCCAGGCGCCGCGGCGCCTCGCACCATGCGGTCACACGGAGCGCGCCATTTCTCCAATAGACCTTGTCCTTCGTCCATCCCGCTAAGATGCTTCTGTTCGTGATGGGCCTTAGAACACAATAGAAGAAAACAAGCAATGCAGTAGTGCTGCGACAGCGCCAAACACAATGATTCCCTCATACCGGGCAATTCTCCAATCATGCCTCGTATGCGCACGCAATCAACATACTATATAAAAACCACCCAACGTTTTCACCAGAAACAAACAACCCCACTCCCTCCATAATTTTCTTCTGTCACTGTTATGTTCGATAGTGTTGGACACTTTTGGCGTTTGTGTGCGAGATACTGCCGTCTTGTGCTGGTGCGCCCGCACCGTACGCACACACACAAGTATCCAAGAATAAATAAATCTCACAATATCTCTTCACCAAAAGTCAAAACTGCCCCTTTCCCTCCCCAATTTGTTTTCCTATTTCGGCGGTTATTCCTCACTCCGGAGCGCTTCGTCTCTTCAAACGTCTCTGGATGGTATTGACACTTGGTACTGGCGCACCTTCTCCTCCCAGAACGCCGCAATTTTTTGACTTTCCTTCTTGCTCACATTATCGGAATTTACAACATCACATCTCTGCCAGTCATTCAACGGCGTGCTGTCTGCGTGCTGCACATAAATCATCTCCCACGACATGTCTCGGGATAATTCCTCCCAGCCATTAAAATATGCCGCCAGGCACTCAGTGAACTGCCGCACAGTGCTGGCGGTGGTGTGATGCGCACCCGCCGTAGTCATCCGCAGCCCAACCAGCGTCTTCCACGGTAACTTCACAAAGGGAAAAAAGTCCACCAGTGGAAAGTTCTTCGTCTCCGGTGTGCACAGTAGCCGATACTCCAAATTTCCCCCCTCAAAAGGATTCTTCAATGAAACCAATCCATATGAATCGTTGGGGTGCCCTTAAGGGTTCGCATTCAGAACCGCGCACTGTCCTCCACGGCGTGTTGGTGGCCTCAGCTCCTTGATGTCCTCTACTAATGCACCGAAAACCCCCCCAAACATAAACACGCGCAAGCCAAACATTTCCACACATTCAGACGAAAGAGTATTCCTCTTCCCCAATACCAGCAACAGGAAAGAAAAATACCTTTCTCACTCATCACGTTCCCCAAAATAGTGCGGTATTCGACGCCCAAGGCAAAAAGATATCGGTGCGTTGAGAAATACCTCAGCACCGACTTCTCCTCTTCCTCTGACAACCCTCACGAGCTTTTGAGACGGATTCTCAGAATACCACAGTCTCACTCCTCCATGCGTAAAGTGCTTTTCACCATCCCGGGACTTGATCCCATCCAAGGCATCCTCAATGGCAGCAGAGTGTGCAATGAACTTATTCGCATCAAAGATGTGGCGTGGAATCGGCCCCACTTTATCCATGCGTTCTTCAACCATCTTCCAGTATTCCGCTTGTTTCTCTGCAATCCCATCGCGATTTATCCACGCACACATCGCCTTCACATCCATCTCATCGGGGCAATTCATGATGATTCGCTCGGCTCTTACTTGCGTCTCCCATTTAGCATAGTTGCGCACGTTTGGCGATGACAACACAATCATGCCCCATCCATAGGGCGCGAAACAACTCGCTGGCATCCCTTTCTCTGTCACGTCGTAGATAACATACCCCTTCATATTCAAATGCTCCAAATCACGCAAAACATTCCTGGATGTTTGACTACCCACGTATCTTGTCACCGTCATGATGGTCTTGTTAAACACGTACGCCGTACTTCCACCAAAAATGTACGCAGCCACTTGGAGTTTCTCCACATCGTAGTGCAGCAGCTGGTAGAGGAGGTGCGAGCCGGCAGCCATCGACTTCCCGATCCCGGGCGTCCCAATCAACACACGCCGCTTGGGCTCAAAGTCATTCCCACCGTGAGGGCTGAACCACTCGGTGAGATCGCCGCTGACGATCTGCCACACTCGATCCACCTCACAGTTCACATAGCAGTCACGAGTGGAATTATTCTCATTCCATTTCCACGTGTGCGGCCATGCCCTCTCCGAGGTAAGCACCATCAGCCTGAGACGCGGTGCACCGGATTGCTGCACACCGTCATCCTTTTCAAGGGTTCGGCCAACTGCCCTGTACGTCCATGGCTGCGGTGGTTCCCCCTCATGCACCTCCATTCCCGTCCCCTCGCCGCCAGGAACTTCCACGACATGATGCCACCTCGCATTGTGCACAGACTCGTACAATCCCTCCAGGTACCTCGGTGCGCTCGACTTCTTTGGGCTCCTCGCTTCCTCGGCAGCTGCATCCAGGAACCTTTTGGTGATTTCATGAACAGTTGCTTTTACCTCCGCAGTAGCCACCAACCACCTCAGTAGATTGTACATGCCCTTATCGTAAAGCCTGTTTACATCCTCTTCCATATCCATTTCCTCCCTTACAGCCCCCTCCATCCTCTTGTAACGATCGGATGCCTGTATTTCGCCCAATACTCCCGCATCGCAAATATACTTCTCGGGGTCCTTAAAAAACTCCTCCAACAAGACATCCCGATTGGCGTCCAAAGCGCCCCTGCCGTCCAATTCCATCGTAAGAAAGTCATTCAGATCCATTTTATTCACGCGAACCCTTCCCTTCAGCACCGCATCATCAATCCTACTGTGAATGGTAAATAACAGTTCTTGTCGTTCTCGCCTTGCCTTTTCTTCTGCCTTCCACCTCTCTACTCTCAGTATATGAGAGTAGGCTTTGTTTATTTGTGCCCTTGCAATAGGAATGACCGTATCCTTTTTTTTAAAGTCCCTCCAATGCCTGAGAGTGAGAATACATTCGTGTGAAAGCTTGTTTAAGGGCCCCAATAGCATGTAAAACTCCTCACACTCTTTCTTCATCTCTTGGTATGACGGCGAAGCCTTTATTGTGTCCAATAACACTTCGTCTTTTATGAACTTATTGGGATTACCTAAAAATTCCTTCATAGTGACGTTCTCATTGAATTCCTCAACGCCCCTGCCGTCAAAATAATTCCGAAGGAAATCATTCAGCCACATTTCCATAGTGCGTTCCTTTTCCTCCAGCAGCACTTTATTCAGCCAACTGTCAAGAGTCCACTGTGGTTGCCGCGTTTCCTCCACTCTTATGCGGGTCGCAGCGGGTTGATCCGTGTCGCCATGGGACGACAGCCTTGCTCTCGTCTGACCATCTCCTTGCGGCACAGCAGACGCTTGACTCTCGGTATTATCATCCCCGTGCACTCTCTTGCGCTTTCCAGGCATTGTTTCTCCTTGTCTTCGCAGTTGGATTGAGTTAAAGCTGAACACTAAACAAAAATCAAGAAAAGAAAGAAGGAATAGAATAAAGAGAGAAAGAGAAAATATATATATATACGCACAGACATGACTGTACAACCACAACAAGAGAGCCCGCCACACAGTGTGACAGCACAAAGTGGCCTCTAGTAAGCAATATTTTAAAAAAATGTACATTTCAGCAAAAAAATAAAAGAAAACCAAAAAAAAGAAAAAAATGAACAACGAGGCTGCCAGTGCAGTGAACAATCGATGGCTGTGCTGCGCATTGCAGATGTGGCCCCGCACCCTTCCCTCATACCAACCATCACCGCATACTTACGAATTCCGCGTGTTACACGGCACATGGCAGCGTAATCGATCATACGGCTCGAACTGGATGCACGGTCCAGCGGGCTCAGCGCGTCTGAGTGGGTGTCACCAGCCATAGGGTGCAACGGCGGTGCAGGTGTTTGGTACGACGACGAAACAGTGTTTGCCTGAAGCGTACGACGATGACGTCATGTCGTAGGACTTCTGCGTCTCTTCGGCGCCATCCTCGCCATCGCGCAGC